GCATAAACACAGATCAACGCCTGGAAATCCCAGAGATGGGACCAGGTGCCTAGAAGGAGTTAGCATTCCCTGCACAACGGTCCCCACCGCTGTGAGTCCTCTGAATTGATCAGTAGACGGAACATTCTGTAGTCATATGTAGCATAAAACAAACCCTCTAATGATTATTTCAAATATGAAAGAAGTTAGCCAAAATACCACTCAATACAATTTAATTGTTGATCAGCCCTTATCGTCTATAGTCAGCAAATCATTCAAATATGAAGCAGATTCGCAGACCTTGTAGTGTCTTTTATGTTTAATATCACAGGGATATCTACGAAAAGCCCATTGGGCTCATTTTCGTAGGTTAAAAAAATAAAATTTTCGCGTTATAACGCGAAACTCTCGCAAATAAACATGTAAATTTCGCGTTATAATGCGTAACTTTGATTGATTCTATATTGTTTTTACGTCCCATTCAAAAATGTTTCCCGCATGTACGTCACCATATACCGATGAAGGGCTTCAAATTTTCACTTTTACTCGGCACTTAGGGCCATTGAACAGTGAGGGTTCTTTATCGTGCCAACGCCTGCCGTGACACGGGACCTCGGCTTTTAAGTTTCACTTCAAGTGCCGAGCGCACGGCGGAAGAACAGTTGCTATCCATTTTTTATCGACTTAGGTCAGTCGCGGAAGAGATACGAACTCACGACCTCCCGTTCACGGAGCGAGCGCTCTACCGACTGAGCTACTGTAAACGATTTGTAATGGAGAAACTAGATAACAAAATCTAAAGAAAGTTAAGACTTATGCAAATGTCTTGGTTAATCAGCAAAAGTTTCGCGTAATTATGCGAAAAATTTATTTTTTCAACCTACAAAAATGATCTCAATTGGCTTTCATAGATATCAAATGGTCACACGAATGAAAGTAACACCTATGGCAAGCCAATTTCATAAAAATGAGCTAAACATAGTTTTACAGTTGATAAACTAGGTTTATCGACTGTAAACTATAGTTTTCGAACCCTTAACTATAGTTAACGATTCGTTATAGTTTTCATCTGTAAAACTATATTACACGGTTGTAAACTATAATCTAAGAATGCTAAACTAAAATTATCTGTCTCATAATAAACGTTAACGATAGATTTTGTTGATAAACACATATTCACATCTGTAAACCATCATATTCGTGAACTATACTTAAGAGTTGTTAAATATGGTTTCACAAATCGTGAAACTATATTTATCAGATAAACTATATTTTGCAGCCGCAAATGGCTGTTTTCAGTGTTAATTATAGTTAATGCTTGTAAAACATAGATCATCGAGTAAACTATAGTTTACAGGTGTGAAATATAGATTATCATAGTTAACTGTAGTTTACGGACCGTAAATTAAAGTTTACAGTCGATAAACCTAGTTTATCAACTGTGAAACTATGATGAGCTCATTTTTGTGAATTTGGCGTGCCGTAAATACCGGTATAACTATTGTTAACTAATACAACGTCGTCTCGATATGTCTCAATGTCGAGCTGATGGCCACAGCAAGTGTTTTTTAATAAATTCTGCTTCAGAGGAATAAAACAAAACAAAAAAAAAACAGGTGCAATTAGTGTCCATCGGAATTCCAAAGGTTTTTGGAAGATCTGACCTCCGAAGCGAGACTACATAAATGATTTTGACAATGAGGAACTCCAGTATCCTTTTAATATCAACTTCAGAGTACTAGTATTTGTGTGTAGAATGAGGTGAACTATATGGAGATAACGAATCGTATTCAAGCTCTAAATTCTATTAAACAATACAAATCAGGAGGTAATCACACACGCTCTATAATATCAGAGTTGGGATCAGGTGCCATGGAGGAGTAAGCATCCCCTGCCGACCGCGGCCGGTCACTTAATGATAGATTGTATCTGCTGACAAGGTCAGTATATCGACCATAGAACTTACGAAATAATTACTTTTAACGAGGCTGTTGATATTCTTAATTGTTTCATTTTATCATTGAGGCAAATGCTGACTGACGTTTTTCATACTAATTGTTAGTCCATTATTTATACACTGAATTGACGACAGATTTTTCCGTTATTTCCCGATCTTGACAAGCAGCACACGGCGGGTGTGATCGGTCAGCTGGGGATGTTCACTCCTACATGGCACCTGATCCCACCTCTGATATTTTAGAGGTCCGTGTTTGCTCTGCTCCTATTTTGTATTATTTTATGGACTTTGATATTGAATACTATTCGTTATCTCCATATCCTTCATTTCATCAACTTGTTTGTCAATTATTTACCTCATTTTTGAAATTGTTCATACGTAAAGCAAACTCTTGCATACCGCAACAGACACAACTTAGGGATGTAAACCCCAGGTGATAAAGATATGCTACTAGAGAAATTGACGATTGAAAACCTATGCTGATCACGATTATTATGAAGCTTTGTTACTAGATTACCATTAAAGCTTTTTTGTAGTAAAATATCCAAGTATGAAACAGATGTGTCAGACTCTGTGACATCTTTATTTCCAAGCTCACCGGAATATATCGTATTGACATAAGAATGGAAATAGCCATGGTGAATTGACAATACGTCGTCGATGTATCTAAATGTGGAGCTGAAGGCAATAGCAAGTGTTTTCTTCTTTTCACGAATTAGCTTTTGAAAATTCTGCTTCATATGAATACAAAAATAGGTCTGCTTATTACGGGGCGCAATTGTTACCCATGGGAATTTCGGAAGACCTTGTCTCCAAAAACCATAGATATTGACAATCAGAAACTTATCGCCGAAATATGGCTGTAACATTGCCGACTAGGCGATGAACAATGATAATCAATCAACCAGAAACTCAAGCATCTCTTTAATAGCAAGGGACCCAGTTGAGCATTTACTACACCCTACAATGTATCATTGTTTGTAAAGACTTTTTTGAAGTTTATTACACACTTAGTAATAAATACAGGTTTTTTGCATATGCGATATGGCTGACGTCACAATAGCCGTATCAGCCCTCCAGGGCTGATATGGATTTTGCGGGGCTGATAACCTATATCAGCCCCGCAAATCCATATCAGCCCTCCAGGGCTGATATGGCTATTGTGACGTCAAATATCACACCATTAGTAAAATAAACTACAAGATCAGTACTTGTGATCATACACAATTTTTGGTGGGTTCATATTCTCTTAATTTAAACTTTTTGAAAATAAGGTTAATCTTAATTTACAAATACTTGTAATAGATTAATGTCAAATTACGGATCTAGTGCATTGAAATAGAAGTAGAAACAAACCCAAATCGTATGAGACAATAGACCATGTACATGTATGTAAGAAGTCAATGCATGTTTATTTACTTATTTTCTTCTCAACTTAATGTTTGCTGTATTTTATTACTAAGTATGTAATAAACATATTAATACATACCCTTTTCCACATCACATCCTGTATCAGCCCTCGACCAATATCAGCCCTTGGGCCTTCGGGCCTCTGGCTGATTTTGGTGTCTCGGGCTGATACAGGATGTGATATGGAAAAGGGTATGTATTATTCTCTATTTATGATCGATCCAACCACTGGAGTGTTACAGGTTTTTAGCTCATATGAGCTGAAAACTCAAGTGAGCTTTTCGAACCACCCGCTGTCCGTGTCCCGTCCCGTCTGTCCGTCTATCTAGCTGTCCGTCCGTCTGTTTCAACTTCTTCTCAAGGACCGCTCGGCCAAATTTAACTAAATTTGGTACAAATCATTCTTGGGTGAAGGGGGGCGGGGTTAAATTCTTAAAATAAAGGGACAACTCCCCTTGCAAGGGGAGATAATTTAGAAAAGACAAAAATAGGATGGGGTCATTAAAAAATGCACCAATGGGTCAGAAGAGCTGCTTATGTGGAAGCATCCTGGGGTAGTGTAGATTCTAAATTGCTAAAATCATGACCCTCCGGGGGAGGGCGGGGCCACAATAGGGAATCCAAGGTTAAATATACATGTATAGGAAAAATCTTTAGAAATCTTCCTCTCAAGAGCCAGGAAAGCTGAAACTTATGTGGAAGCATCTTGAGGTAGTGTAGATTCTAAGTTGTACAAACTATGACCCCCGGGGGAAGAGAGGGACCACAATAGGGAATACAAGTTTTACATTGAAATATATAGGAAAAATCTGCAAATCTTCTTTTCAAGAACCACTGGGCCAGTGAAACTGAAACTTATGTGGAAGCATTCTGAGGAAGTGTAGATTCTGAATTGTTAAAATCATGAGCCCCGGGATAGGGCGGGGCCACAATGGCTGTTACGGCCATTTCGGTTACTAGACTTTTTAGGGTCATTAGTGTGATGTGACGTCATCGTTTTTGGGGCACAGTAATTTTTTGTGTAGAGCCCGTGTTATCATGGCAGAACGTGGCAGGGCTTGGTGCCGCATATGTTACCAGTTTGCCATTTGCTAGTTTACTATGATGCTTTCCAGTCTTTGTATTGATATTTATATCACTGGAGGAAACTTCTAATTGGTGAGTTTTTCTATGTAAATCATTTAGCTGTATACACTGTATATTTGTCATCTCGGTAAAGTTAGCATTTTTATTAACCTGGCTATCAAGTTATTGTTGAAAGTACTTGTGCACTATGTTGGAGTGATAATTAGTAAGTTAGGTACAATATTGACATACATATTGTAATTTCGCTGGATACGTGCACATTTATTACGTACGGGAGATAAATCTTTTTATTGCCATGTTTTTCTATCATGATTTGTGTCAAGAAGAGTTATGCCTCTTTGTTTACATTTGACGACAGTTTTGTGTATTGAAGTATTTTCTAGAACATGTAATACATCATGATTATTTGCTAGGATGTGTTATTATGTGTAACTTGCTTGAAATATCTTGTATTTGGCTATGTTTTCAGTCAGGTGTAAATTTAGGGTGGCTTATGAAAAAATAATTTTTACTAATTTTCTATAAAAATTAATAAACCTGAGACACAAATGTAATATACTTTACAGGTTAGAGATATATTTAACACAATTTCATAAGTCAAAGTCACTCATAAAAAAAATTATTCAATTTTTATTTCAACATTCCTCTTTTTTTTGGAATGTAAAATGTGACATTGCATAGGGTCTTATATTAAATGGTTGTATGAGCCTATAAAATCTTACTCTACAGACACAGTTCTTTTGCTAATTTTACTAGCGATGTTTCTTCAATAAAAATCAGTTTTTCTAGTTGCCATGGAAACTGTCTTTAATTAATAAAAGTTAAAATTAAAATTGTGTGTCGGACGAACTCTTGTCTGTCCAATTTACACTGACCAAAAATGATTAAATTGACAGATGTTGCATGCGTGTTTCAAGCTTCTTGCCGCTTTTCAGCTGTAGATATGCACTTTCTTGCATAATAAAATTTATTTCTATCCAGATAACATTGTTTTTCTGTGAAATATGTTAAATCAATTAAATCTTCTCCTTTGTCTGTCCTATGTTACGGGCGAAAATTGTAAAATTAAATACCGATTTTTTCAATCAACGGACCTCTCTGGGGCCCCTTTTACGACATACATGTCTTGAGATGGTAGAAAACGAGTGCATCACGTGTTTACCGCAAACCAGTCTGTTTACAAGATGGACGGAGGCAAGGAAAAATAGTTGTCCGTCTCACTGAAGTATGTAAGTTACGGGCGAATGTGTGTTCGTCCGAATGTTCGTCCGAATGTGATATTTTATGAAATTTAGACGCCAAAATTAATTAACATCACACATATTCTTGTGAATTATCATGCTACATTACCGTAATTGTTATTATAGATTGAAATAACTTCGTAATTTCATCAAAATATAAAGTAAAGCGATGATTTTTCAATCTGGACAGAATGATTTCCATTCGGACGTAACAAGGACAAATACTTTAAAGATATCTATGTTATTATGGTAATTATATTGAATTCTTAATGTTTAATGTCAAGCAAACTTGAGTGAAATTTTTTTAATGATCTCGGTCATATCTATAAAAGTTGATTACAGATTACCTCTAATTAATTCAAATGAAATAGATTTAATATCTTAATTTCTTCTTTTAACAGTATATACCAAAGAGACAGTTGAAGATCTTGAGAGGAACTTCATAGCAGCTATATAAAGATTATGTCAATAATTACCTGAATAAATATCTTTTAGATGGAGATAGATCATTTTGTGTGTTTTTTCCTCAGTTATTATGTGTAATAAAAAATACAAAAGAGATTAAAATTCCCTAAATCCTCAGTGTCCGTCCAGGTTTTTCCAACATCTGTCTTCTGTTAATCCAACATAAAAAGTGACATTTTAAAGTTTCATACTAGTGTTATTTATCAATTTTTCCCAATTTTTTTTGCATTCTATGTCTTTGGTCATCATATATTTCAAATTCCAAAGCTGAAAATACTTTTCTTTAAGCACTTAGAACAGAAAAATAGACTTTTTGTCTGTCCCTGTTCGTCCAACACTTTGTCACTTTTTTCATATTTTAATGAGTTTAAATGATTTTGAAATATGACAAAAGGTTTAAACATAATTGCTTACCTAGAATATAGTACAAGAAATGTAGATTTGCAATTTATATTGTAGTTGATGGAAGATATAACCGATTTTGTCTGTCCTGTTCGTCCAACATGTGATGTGGACAGCCCGATTATTTTTCATGAATAAAAACATTTTTCCTTAAAAAGTTATCTTTTTAATGATGCAGTTAGCAAGTATAGATATATATTTTATCCCATGTCAAAATTTAAGTTGATATTTCAAGAAAAAAATTCTCAAGTATTTGTCACAGATATTCTACACTGTACTGAAAACGTAGCCATTTATAGTATTTTTTCTTTGTATTTTTAGGTCACCTGAGTCACTCAGGTGACCTATTGCTATCTGTTTTTGTCCGTCGTCGTCCGTCGTACGTCGTTCGTCGTTCGTCGTCAATCGGTCGTAAACTTTTGAACATTTTCAGCTTCTTCTCTGCAACCACTGAACCAATTTCAACCAAATTTGGCACAAAGCATCTATGGGTGAAGGGGAACAAAAATTGTGAATTTCATGATCCCTGCCCCCCTGGGGCCTGGGGGGTGGGGCCAAAACCAGTAAAATTAATGCAATCTTCAAAAATCTTCTTCTTTACTCCTGGACATCAAGCAGTCAAACTGTTTGCATGATTGTAATCAGCATTGAGTCCTTTACCAAAATTGTGAAATTCATGGCCCTGGGGTCAGGGGTTCTTGTACTAGGGCGGGGCTAAATAAGTATATAGTGAAAATGCATTATTTCTTTGAAAATCTTCTTCTCTGCTCCTGGGTATTAAATAAACTAACTAAACACATAGTTATGATGAGCAAGAGTGCCTCTACCAAAATTGTGAATTTTATGGCCCCAGGGTCAGGGGTTCTGGTGTCAGGGCGGGGCTCTATTGATTATATAGAGGAAATACATGAATTCTTTGAAAATCTTCTTCTTTACTCCTGGGTATTAAATAAACTAACTAAGTATATAGTTATGATGAGCAAGAGTGCCTCTACCAAAATTGTGAATTTTATGGCCCCAGGGTCAGGGGTTCTGGTGTTAGGGCGGGGCTCTATTGATTATGTAGTGAAAATACATGAATTCTTTGAAAATCTTCTTCTCTGCTCCTAGATTTTATATAATTTAACTAAGTACATAGTTATGATGAGCAAGAGTGCCTCTACCAAAATTGTGAATTTTATGGCCCCAGGGTCAGGGGTTCTGGTTTTAGGGCGGGGCTCTATTGATTATATAGTGAAAATACATGAATTCTTTGAAAATCTTCTTCTCTGCTCCTAGGTTTTATATAAACTAACTTAGTACATAGTTATGATGAGCAAGAGTGCCACTACCAAAATTGTGAATTTTATGGCCCCAGGGTCAGGGGTTCTGGTGTCAGGGTGGGGCTCTATTGATTATATAGAGGAAATACATGAATTCTTTGAAAATCTTCTTCTTTACTCCTGGGTATTAAATAAACTAACTAAGTACATAGTTATGATGAACAAGAGTGCCTCTGCCAAAATTGTGAATTTTATGGCCCCAGGGTCAGGGATTCTGGTGTTAGGGCGGGGCTGTATTGATTATACATGTATAGTGAAAAAACATTAAATCTTTGAATATTTTCATCTTTGCTCCTAGGTTTTAAGCAGATGAATTACCTATATAGTTATGAGCAATCCCTAATCTTCAAGAATTGTAAATTTCAAGGCCCCAGGGTCAGTTGTACCATAGTGGGGGGGGGGGGGGGGGGCTGTACTTTGTACTGAAAATGAATGAATTGTTTGAAATGTGCTCCTTGGTGTTAATCAAATATTTTTGAAAAGCAAGTATGCCTTTCCAAAAATAGTGCAATGTGTGGATCTAGGCCTAAGAGTCAAGGGTTCATGTGTGGTAGCGGCACTACTGATTATTGCTGAATATTACTGATTAGTTGAAATGCATTTTTTGTTCCCCTACCCTGCCTATGGGTATAAAGTAACCAAACTAAGGAACTGCTAAGTGTATAGTTATGATGACCAGATCGTAAATGCTATAGCATCTAGCATCTAGCAAAACATGGATCAAATTCAGTCACTGGGAAGTTGTTGAATAATGCTCAGGTGACCTATAAGGCCCAGGGGCCTCTTGTTTGTAGTAAATCGTCAGTGTAATAGTCGTCGTCATTTTCCACGTCATATTTTCCAAGTCATTTCTACGTCTACATCCATGTCAATGTAATCATCATTTCAACGTCATTCACGTCATTTCCATGTCAACTTCAAGTCATATTTCCACGTCATTGTCATCGTCATATCTCATCATCCTCATAAATAAAATCATTGGACGCATTTGCATGTTGTTTCCTTAATTACCTGTCCGGAGTCAGTACAAAATATTTACAATTAAAAGTAAATTCAGCACCTTGGCGCACCTTTGTTTTCACCTGTACAGAAACCAACTGCACAGCAGTTACCGCATTTGCATGTACCTGTGTCTACCACACAGTCTACCTTGAATCCACATGCGCCTTTGTTTACATCTGTGTCAAGGACTGTAAGTCAGCAGAACTGGAATACACCATCTGTGACTCCAGGTACTTCATCACATGTGCCTGTTAGTGTGACTACATGTACGCCACATAGTATTCCTTACATTCCTATGTTGACACAACATAGTACGCCTTATGTACCTGCGTTACCAACATTCGGTGACTTGTAAAATTCAGGCATGCGCACAGTCATAATCGTGAACATGAAGGCCTACTTATTGTGGCACAAGAACTAAATAAGCCAAAATCAGAAATACAGAAGTTTGAAGGGAATCCAATGGACTACCAGAGATTCATTAGACAGTTTAATACAAGGGTGTGTGCTAATACCAGCTCATATGAAGAACGTTTGAACTTTCTTCTGCAATTTACCAGTGGTGAGGCTAACAGAATAGTGACTGGATATTCACACTTAAATGCTGAAAGCGGATACAAGGCAGCGATGGATGAATTCAAAGATCGATATGGTGATCCAGACATTGTTGCGCAAGCTTATGTGAAAAAAGCATTGAATTGGTCGTCAATAAAACAAGACAATGCAAGGGGACTTGATGACTATGCAATATTCCTTACAGAGTGTCAGCATGCTGTCAACAACGTAGCCAGCGCTAGAGCCTTAGAGTATCCAGAGAACATGAAACTTATTATAAAGAAACTTCCGTTCTACTTACAAGAAAAGTGGCGAAATGTTGTGTACGAGCTCAAAGACAGAAGAAAAGTTGTGAAGTTTGAGAACTTAGTGAAGTTTGTTCGTAAGGAAGCTAAAAAGGCCAACGACCCTATTTATGGAAGAGAAGTGATGAATATCTCAACATCTTCAACCCACGGACAGAATGTTAAACCAGCCACATTCTCAAAACAGAAAGGGAACTTTGCAACTAAGACCGTGGAATCCCATCTATCTACAAACAATTATGCATATGAACAACATAGACCAAAATCATCTGGATTTGTGAAACCATGTGCTTATTGTCAAGGCACATCACATTCATTGGAAGAGTGCCGGAACATTATGAAGCTACCCCTAAAGGACAGATATGAAGTGTTGAAGTCCAAGGGACTGTGTTTCTCGTGTTTGAGATCAGGACATCTTAAGGAAGCCTGTCAACACAAGTTATACTGCGTTCACTGTAAGAAGTGTCACCCATCTATACTTCATGTGATACCTCGACAAGGCAAGGAAAACCCAGTGACTACTGATCAAAACAACAACAGCTCATCTGCAGCCGTTTCTTCAACAGCGCATATGGGGGCTGGGGACTCAGTGAGGCAAGCGCTTCCAGTCATACCAGTACGTCTGAAATCAAGAAACAGTGACAAATTTATTACAACTTATGCTTTCTTGGATTCTGGGAGTACAGCGACATTTTGTACAGAGGAAATCGCAAGATCACTTCACCTTGAAGGCAAAAAGACTGTGCTCAACTTAACAACCATGGGACAGCAGAGGACAGAGAACTGTAGCATTCTATCTGGTCTTGAAGTGAGTGATTTAAATGGTGATCACACAATTGACTTACCTCCTATATACACTCAACCGGATCTGCCCATATCTAAGAAAGACATTGGTACGTCCGAGGACCTACATAGATGGCCGCATCTGCGTGATGTACATATTGACACCATAGATAGTGATGTTGGTTTGTTGATTGGTGTCAATGTACCGAAAGCAATGGAGCCATGGGATGTGATTACTAGTGTACACAAAGGTCCATTTGCTGTTAAGACTCATTAGGATGGGTAATCAATGGACCGCTTGATACCAGACCAGAGAATGGTACTTACAGTACATACGTCACAGTCAACCGTATCGACGCAAGATTAGAGGAGCAAGTGAGATATCAATTCAATCATGACTTTAGTGAAAGAGCTATCGATGATGTTCCAGAGCCGTCAAGGGACGACAGGAGATTTCTCGACTTTGTGACAAATTCAGTTCGCTTTGAAAATGGACATTATGTCATTGGTCTACCATTCAAATCAGAAAATGTGATAATGCCAAACAACAGAAAACAAGCAGAACAGAGACTGAATTCCTTGGCTAAGAAACTTTGTAGTGACAGTGAATTCCATGACAATTATAAAGCCTTTATGGACAAAATTATTAGCGAAGGCTATGCACGAAAGGTACCTATAGAAGACTTGAATCAAGATGATGGACACGTTTGGTATTTGCCGCATCATGGTGTACTACATCCCAAGAAGAAAAAACTTCGAGTTGTGTTCGACTGTGCAGCGAGGTTCCAAGGGACTTCACTGAATGAACAATTATTACAGGGCCCTAACTTGACAAACACACTCATCGGGACTTTGATGCGATTTAGAGAGGAGGAAATCGCTGTGATGGGAGATATCGATAGTATGTTCTACCAAGTACGTGTTCCGCCACAAGATGCTACTTTTCTACGATTTCTCTGGTGGAAAGATGGAAATCCTTCCAATAGTTTACTAGAGTACCAGATGATCGTGCATTTGTTTGGAGCCACATCTTCTCCTAGTTGCGCCAACTTTTGTTTACGAAAAACAGCTCAAGATTGGTCAGGACATTTTAGTGATGAGACAATAAAGACAGTTCTTCAGAATTTCTACGTTGATGATTGTCTGAAGTCAGTGAATTCTGTAAGAAATGCTGTGACATTGGTGAAAGAGTTACAGGGAATATTGGAAAGTGGGGGATTTCATATATCGAAGTGGATCAGCAACAGTCGTGAGGTCATGTATTCGATACCAAAATCCGATAGAGCTAAAGAGGTCAAGGACTTGGATCTTGACTATGATACACTACCGGTAGAGAGAGCCCTCGGCATCCAGTGGTGTGTGAATTCTGACATCTTTCAGTTTAAACTGGACTTCAACAGGAAACCACTTACAAGGCGGGGAATTCTGTCAATGGTGAGCGGTGTGTTTGACCCACTGGGATTCTTAGCTCCACTACTACTCAAGGCCAAGATCATTCTGCAGGAATTGTGCAAACTTCAGCTTGGATGGGACGACAAGATTCCAGATGACACTGCTACTCAGTGGAATAATTGGTACCAAGATCTCGAGAAACTGAGGGACTTCAAAGTGAACAGATGTCTGAAACCTTATGGTTTTCATCCACTCATGGTACAGTTACATCATTTTGCTGATGCGAGTGAAACTGGATATGGTACAGTGTCATACTTGTGCATGGAGAACGCTTCTGGTGAACGTCACTGTTCCTTTATTATGGGAAAATCCCGCGTTGCTCCACTTAAGACAACATCTATTCCACGATTGGAGTTGACAGCAGCCACGGTAGCCGTCAGAACCAATAGGATGTTACTTAGAGAATTGAATATTCCTGTCCATCGTATTACATACTGGACCGACAGCATGGCCGTTCTACGTTATATTCAGAATAGTACGGCGAGATTTTATACTTTTGTGGCAAACAGATTAGCAGTTATCCACGAAGGGTCACAACCAACTGACTGGAGATACATTAACACAAGGTTGAATCCAGTGGATCATGCATCTAGAGGTATCTCTGCAGATGGCTTATTGAAACAGGAGAACTGGATCAAACCCCCCAATTTCCTGTTTGAACCTGAGGATCATTGGCCAACACCAGCTTCACACCTCACTGACACAGAACTGTTCGACAGACCCAGAGGTGAAAAAGGTTACTGTAAAGACAGTTGTCACAAAATCACAGGAATTACAAGAGAACACAGCAGATATTAATGAGCTGTTTCAACATCATTCGTCTTGGTATTTATTAAAACGTAGTGTGGCATGGATTTTGAAGGTGCGTAAAGAACTGTTAAGACGTGTTCGTGTGAAAAGACTCGATTCTTACTCAATGGTACAGGATGATTCTCGTGACAAGGCTTACATTTCCTACGAGGACTTGAAAGATGCAGAAAAAGCTATACTTACGTTCATTCAGTGGCAAGAATTTTCTACGGAAATAAATACCCTTATGTCAAGAAATTCTAGTGTCAGTCATGGTAGCAGAATCCGGAGCCTTGATCCATTTTTGGATGCTGGTCTTTTGCGAGTCGGTGGCCGTTTACACAAGTCAAGTTTTCCAGAGGAGATGAAACATCCAGTGATTTTACCCAAAGATCATCATGTGTCCACTCTAATTCTTAACCAAATTCATCAGGATTTGTTACATAGTGGCAGAAATCATATGCTAGCTAAGCTGAGAGAACGTTACTGGCTTATCCATGCTCCATCTGCAATTCGGAAAGTCATATCAAAGTGTGTTACTTGTAGACGACAGAGGTCTAAGGTTGGAGAGCAAAAGATGGCAAGTTTGCCCAAAGATCGTATTATCCCAGACTAACCACCATTTAGCAGAGTTGGTGTGGATTACTTCGGACCATTTGAAGTCAAAGTGAAACGGAGCCGTGTGAAACGCTATGGTGTTATATTCACTTGCTTAGCTAGTCGTGCAGTGCATTTAGAGATAGCAGCTTTGTTGGATACAGATTCCTACATAAATGCACTACGTCGTTTCATAGCAAGAAGAGGACAAGTAAAGAAAATACGTTCTGACAACGGAACTAACTTTGTTGGTGCCGAACGTGAACTTAAAAAATCCATACAAGAATGGAACCAAGCACAGATCCAATCTGCGATGTTACAAAAGAACGTAGACTGGCAGTTTAACCCACCAGCTGGATCACACTACGGGGGAGCCTGGGAGAGGTTAATTAGATCTATTCGTAAAGCCATGAATAGTGTACTAAAGGAGCAGACACTTGATGATGAAGGACTTCATACTCTAATGTGTGAAATTGAATATACAATCAACGACCGACCAATAACAAAGAACACGGATCAACACGGTGACTTGGAGCCACTTACTCCAAATCATTTGCTTTTGATGAAGAGGAAACCTAACCTTCCTCCAGGAGTCTTCGATAAGACAGATCTGTACCACAGACGCCGTTGGAGACAGATACAATATATGGCCAACTTGTTCTGGCATCGTTGGGTACGCGAGTACTTACCACTCCTCCAGGAACGACAAAAATGGCATGATATCAAGAGAAACTTTCAAGTCGGTGACATTGTGTTAGTTGTGGATTGGAACGCCCCGAGGAACTCTTGGCCGATGGGAATGGTGCATGAGGCAATTCCCGACAGAAATGGACTCGTGCGTCAGGTCAAAGTGAAAACTGCGACAAACATTTTAACGCGACCTGTCGATAAGCTGTGTATGATACTTGAAATGGACTAAGAGACTGTTTGAGATGTGTTTACTAAGAGACTTTGAATATGAATATTCTTCTTTATCATGTACATGTATTGAATTTGCTAGGCATCATGTTTATCATGTGCATATATCATTTTTTGATGAGAATTTAGTACAGTGTAACCTGTTTAACTTGCATTGTGTTTTATACAATTTTTGGGTTAATGGATATAATGTATATATCTATTTTTGTAATTGTGTCACATTTGTTCCACAATTAGGGGGCTGGATTGTTACGGCCATTTCGGTTACTAGACTTTTTAGGGTCATTAGTGTGATGTGACGTCATCGTTTTTGGGGCACAGTAATTTTTTGTGTAGAGCCCGTGTTATCATGGCAGAACGTGGCAGGGCTTGGTGCCGCATATGTTACCAGTTTGCCATTTGCTAGTTTACTATGATGCTTTCCAGTCTTTGTATTGATATTTATATCACTGGAGGAAACTTCTAATTGGTGAGTTTTTCTATGTAAATCATTTAGCTGTATACACTGTATATTTGTCATCTCGGTAAAGTTAGCATTTTTATTAACCTGGCTATCAAGTTATTGTTGAAAGTACTTGTGCACTATGTTGGAGTGATAATTAGTAAGTTAGGTACAATATTGACATACATATTGTAATTTCGCTGGATATGTGCACATTTATTACGTACGGGAGATAAATCTTTTTATTGCCATGTTTTTCTATCATGATTTGTGTCAAGAAGAGTTATGCCTCTTTGTTTACATTTGACGACAGTTTTGTGTATTGAAGTATTTTCTAGAACATGTAATACATCATGATTATTTGCTAGGATGTGTTATTATGTGTAACTTGCTTGAAATATCTTGTATTTATAGTATTTTTTCTTTGTATTTTTTGTAGTAAATCGTCAGTGTAATAGTCGTCGTCATTTTCCACGTCATATTTTCCAAGTCATTTCTACGTCTACATCCATGTCAATGTAATCATCATTTCAACGTCATTCACGTCATTTCCATGTCAACTTCAAGTCATATTTCCACGTCATTGTCATCGTCATATCTCATCATCCTCATAAATAAAATCATTGGACGCATTTGCATGTTGTTTCCTTAATTACCTGTCCGGAGTCAGTACAATGGCTGATCAAAGTTTAACATAGGAATATTTAGGATTTTAAAAAAAATCTTCTCCAGAACTACTGGGCCAGGAAAGATGAAACTCATGTGAACGTATGCTCAGGTAGTACATGTAGATTCAAGTTTGTTCAAATCATGACCCCTGTGGGTAGGGTGGGGTCACAGTCGATATAACAAATGGGAAATCTGTTATAGAACGTTACTCAGGTGATCAATGTGGCCCATGGGCCTCTTGCTTAAAATACTGATTGTGATTGTATGTTGACATAATCAAGTCGTATGAATGCCATGTTGGCGTCATTATTTTGCATGTCTTGATATACTCTAAATTACCAAATTTACTCATATTAAAATTTTTATGCCCCCGTAATCGAAGATTCGGGGGTATATAGTTTTTGTCTTGTCCGTCCGTCTGTCTGTCTGTCTTTTCCGCAAAAACTTTAACCTTGCCCATAACTTTTGATTTGGTGGAGCTATGACTTTCATATTTCACACTTAGTACACTCAATATATTCATGTGTATCTGTATCCCTTGTGACAAGACCTTTCTTTTAGCACCACCAAATTTGACCTTTTGACCTTGACCTTGGAGTTTGACCCACTTTTCCTCAAAAATTCCAAACTTTTACTTTGGTCATAACTTATGAACGGTTAGGGATAGGGGTATCATACTTCACAAATGTAATGCTTGTGACAAGACCTTTCTTATGGAGCCAACATCTTTGACCCTTTGACTTTGACTCTGGAGTTTGACCTACCTTTCAAAAACTAATCCTTAGCGATAACTTTTGAACAGGTAGTGCTAGGGCTTTCTTATTTCACAATCGTATTTCTTGTACCCAATTGTAAACCAACTATGATTTGCGTCATCTTTTATTCGATTAATCAGGTTGAATTCATTCCGCGACGATTAATTTTCGAGACAGGGGAACCATTTTTTATCAATATAAAGCAAGAGGAAAGGTTCGCTACGATAAATATTCGCGATTTAAAGTTGGTCGCGAATCTCGCAAATATTTCTCGCACGCGAATAAATGTTGGTTTACAGTATTTAATTTGCATTTAAGAAAAGTTTGATCTTTGCTATGTTGCTCTACGGGAGCATCAGTGTTTCACAAACACAGCTTGTATTATCTAAAAAGATCGAATTTTGACTACTTGCATGCCAACATAATTATCCTGCATGTAGACATAATTATCTTGCATAATGACATACTTTTCTTGCATGTTGACATAATTTATCTTGCATATAGGGGGCAGGAATATGCCACCATATACGAGGGTTGTCCCGTAAAATCGTGGACAAGTTGTCTAGTGTGAAAAATAAACATCACTGCGTTCTGAAATTTTCAATATTATTTAGTACATATTTTAGTAATATACACAGCAAATTTCAGATAAATATATGCATAAATAAACAAATTATGAGATTTTATGCCATGTATTGTATCACCTTACGGCGCATGGATTATAACGTCAAAGTGTCTAAAACAGCGTCATGTTTTATCTTTGCTGAAAATGAAGTTGGATGAGTCCGACTTAAATTTAGAAATTTCATTGATACACATTCTTTAGTCTCCATCAACAGTCGAAGATCCAATTGGCACCCTCATGCGATCTTCTGAAGATTTATTAGTAAGTTACGGACAATATTCTCACCATCATTCAACTAATAGAAAATCTCATATCAGCGGTCTACTGTGACAGCGTCTTTTCCTATTACATAAGGGTTTTGTCCGTATGTTTTGTACTCCCCAGGGACTCGATAATAAAAAACTTCGCTAAGAAAACTCCTATTTCATTTGTATACTTAAGATATGGTGATATTTTTATAATCTTTTTTCTTCTATGGTCATTTCAAGTCTCTAAAGGTGTCATTACAACATCGAAATAAAACTAAACTGTTCTCCGGTGCTCCGTAACGTCATAAAACGTCACAATTTTTCGTGTTGTTGTGTTTACCACTTTCCCATTTCGAATGCTCGAGAAACTGCCAAAAATTAAGCAAATGCCTTAAAATTTTTACAAAGACTACAAAATTGATTGTGGAATTGAATTAGGATAATTTTAATCCAAATCTTATGTATTTAAAACTTTTATTTTGAATTCAAACTTGTGTATTCTTTAATAAAACCTTGGTTTTTTTACCATGCGCCGTAGGACAATACCTCGTGCACATTCAAGCAAAATAAAATCTTTATTTTTGCCTATATTTTATCAAAAAAATTATCATGCACTTAAATATGATAAATAAACATTTACTGAAATTTTCAGCTTAGTGCGCCCATTACTTTTCGAGAAAAACGCTTTGTCCACGATTTTACGGGACAACCCTCGTACATTGACTATTTTAGGTTTTTTTTACTAAACAGATTTTCCGTAAAAGAACAAGATGTGTTTGTGAAACACCGATGCCCCCGTATGGCAGCTTATGGCGAGGGTTGAGATATCTCAAATGGGTTGATTGATTGATTGTTGTTTAACGTCCCTCTCGAGATTTGTTCACTGATTATTATGACATACGGAGACAACACCACTTGCCGGTGGAGAGCTACAAATTTTGTCCTATACTTGGCACTTAGGGCCATTGAGCAGGGAGGGATCCTTTTCGTGCCAGCACCTATTGCGACACCTCCTCCCACAGTGGGATTCGAACCTGCGACATAAGATCAACTCCTTACTTCGCAACTCTCAAACGGAAGTCAAGTCAAACTCCAAAGATCAATGTCAAAAGGTCAAAATTGTGGGTACCCAGAGGAAAATCTTATCGTGAGGAACACATCTGTTAATTATGAAATCCCTAGTGCTCAGTTGTCAAAAGGTATGGCCAAGGTTAAAGATTTTTAGGCCAAACTCTAAGGTCAAAAGGAAAAAAATACCCATTGAAAGGTCTTGTCACAACGAATACACATGTGAAGTATGAAAGCACTAGCACCGCATGTTCTAAAGTTATGGCCAAGGTTAAATTGTGGTATTTTTTTTGTAAAAATGTTTCAAACTCAAACGTCGTGGTAAGGAGGTCAAATCTGATAGTAGCCAAAGAGAGGTCTTTTCACAAGGAGTACACCTGTGAAATATGAAAGCCAAAGTTCCACCCTCTAAAACGTTATGTTAACGTTTTTGTGGACAGACAGGGCAAAAAGTACACCTGAGTCAAGATCAAGACACATTGGATCATAAGCAGTTCTTGTACCCAGTGTCCTTCATTACAAAGTTTGATCATGAAGAAGAATTCTATACTTTATCAGCAAAAGACCTTGAACTTGCCGGAATGACCTTCGATCAAGGTCACAGCGAATCGTTGGGTCATAAGTAAATGTCTGTATCAAGTATATGTATAAACTCTCAATCGTTTCAATCGTTCTCACTAACAAAGTTATAGCCAGGAGAAGTTTTCAGGTACATACAGATGGACTGACAGTGTCCTCCAGATATGCTATGGAGTGTTAGATGTTACATCGGTCTTATGCTCACCTGACCAGTTTATACTTTAGGATACCAGGTATTTCACCTGTAACATATAGAGATAACGAACAGTATTCAAGATCAGAAGTCCATAAAGCAATACAAAATAGGAGCAGAGCAAACACGGACCTCCAAAACATCAAAGGTGGGATCAGGTGCCATGGAGGAGTGAGCATCCCCTGCCGACCGGTCACATCCGCCGTGTGCTCCTTGTCATGATCGGGAAATGACGGGATAATTCTTTGTCAATTCATTTATAAATAATGGACCAATAATAGTATGAATAACGTCAGTCAGCATTTGACTCAATGCAAAATTGTATTTGCTGACAAGGTCATTGTCTCGACCATAGAACTTACGAAATGATGAGTTTAAACGAGACTGTTGATATTCTTGTTTCATCAACTTGTTTGTCAATGATTTACCTCGTTTTGGAAATTGTTCATACGTAGAGCATGCTCTTGCGTATCGAATCAACTGAGATAGATAAACTCCGCATGCAGGTGATGAAGGTACATATATTGCTGCATAAGTAAGAAAAGTTGACGATAGAAAAGTTAAAGTCGTCACGTTTATCATAGAGCTGTCTTTTTTTTCAAGTAAAATATCCAGATATGAAACAGATGTGTAAGACCTGTGGTATCTTTTATCTCAAGCTCACCAGGATATATCGTATCAACACAAAAATGGAAATAACCATGGTTAATTGACAACACCTCGTCGATATACCGGTATCTAAATGTCGTGTTGAAGGCCACAGCAGGTGATTCTTCTTTCACGCATAAGATTTTCACTAATTCAACATGAATACAAAAAATGTCTGCTAATAACGGGGCGCAATTGGTACCCATGGGAGTTCCAATAGATTGTTGGAAGACCTAGTCTTCAAAAATAACACAGATATTGTCAATCAGAATCTCAAGCATCTTTTTGATATCAATTTCAGAGTACTTGTGTGTACAATCAGAATTTTTTTTAACAAAATAATTTTGCAAATGACCAATGACAAGGTAAGTAAATTTACGAGTTCCATTTTTATTTAAAAAGCAGCTGTCAATGATGTCGAAAAGCCTGGATTTTAATTGATCGTGGGAAATGGTTGTGTATAAACTTGAAAAGTCGTAGGTTTTTTGGTAAACTGTTGATTTTAGTAAAATCTTGGGATTTCAAATGGTCCAAATGTTCACTGGAATTTTTAAGTATCCACATCTGATTTACACCACTTCTTGAATATATTGTTGCACTGTAATCTTGAAGTTTCTCCTTCACTACTGTTAATATCTTAGTGAGGAGTAAAGAAAGAGGCTTGGTTGAACATTTACTAGAACCCTCTATGTATCTTTGTTTGTTAAGATTCTTATGAACTTTCGGAATCCAATATTTGACATATGAATGAAAAGTGACTATCATAAACGATAAAACTTCATTATACTTTAATGTTGAGTTGAAGACAACAGATTCGATACGTTAGTGCACATTTTGTCGACAAATACTTGACTTACCTGACTTATTCTATATTCCTGTTCCCTCCTTGGGGAGCATGCGTGGGGCCGCAACCACACCGCGCCATCGGACTGTTTTGGGCTGGTGTTTTTAATTGGATGCAGGTAAAACCTGCATCTTTTGCCTCCATTTCCATGGATCTTCTCCAGGTTTGCCTGGGTCTCCCAACCCTCCTTTTCTCTTGTGGATTCCAATCCAGAGCATGTTTTGTAGTGTTAAAATCTGTTCGAACACGCAAGTAATTTGTATTGTAAAGTGTGGTTCATTTAACTTTTTTCAAATCACTTTTAAAAATTTGGTAAGCCTGTGCTTCAGTTTGGACACGGCAGTTTAAGATTTACATATTTGATTTGTATTATACACATATATGAGATTTTAGAATTTATGTGTGGTCCTTCTCTTATTTGCGTTTGTTTTTAGGAATTTCTAACATATGCAACTTTAAGCTATGTTCTGTTATTTATAGTTACATTTATTTGAAAACTGGTGTGGAGGCCATTCTGTAATTACTGTTGTGAAGGATTATTGCATTGTATATATTAAACTGTAACTTTTCACAGAAATTATATGTCATTTATTGTTGATAAGATGTAACGTTGTGTAGAGATGGCGGCCCGTACCAGTCACATCTCATTGTCCTGGCACTGGAAGTTAATCTCTTCGCACTGGAGAGGGGTATCCTGTTTATCCCAAACACCGTTTGGATTGCAGTTTATTTTGTTGTTATTTTGTTAATTAAAATGTTTTAAATGTAGTGAAAGATTTTCTTTATTTATCAGAGTCTCGGAACCAGTGTTGTTTGAGAGAACTGCTTTTAACATTCGTGTTAAAAATTGCGATTTTGCTGTTGATGGAGAGGGCTTTAGAATTCCAGATTTATCCGAGGGTATTGAAGGCATGTATTGCCTTATAAATTCGGCTTTTGACGTCGTCATCTGCTCCATTCCTTGTTGACGCTACTCCCAGATAAGTGAATCTGTCAGTTTCTTTGATGTTCTCCCCATTTAACTGGATTGATATCTTTTGTTTGTTGTTGATTCTCATCACCTCTGTTTTCTTAGTATTCATTTTCTTTTGGGCTTCTGATGCCAATAGTGATAGTTTCTCTGGAGCATCTTGTAGCTTATGTGAGAGCAGGTCAATGTCATCTGCAAAATCCAGGTCCTCAAGTTGTTTGGTGAAGGTCCACTGGATTCCGGTCTTACTGCCCTTTATTGTTTCCTGCATGATCCAGTCAGTGACTATCAGAAACATGGTTGGTGAGAGGATGAAGCCCTGCCTGACTCCTTTTTCCACATTAAAAGAATCTGTGAGCTTCCCATTATGGATGATGTGACATGTGGCATCATCACACAGATTCCTGATGACACTTTTGAACTTTGGTGGAATTCCATACTGCCCCATTAATGATCAGATGGTTGACCTGTCCACACTTTCGAAGGTTCTCTCAAAATCCACGAAGATTGAATAAAGAGGAGACTGGCATTCAATGGACTGTTCGATGATAATACGAAGTGTGGTCGAACCCTGCTTACTCTGATCTTAGTTTCTTGTCCAATGCTCCTTTCATTCTTTCCAACATTACTCTTGTTAAGATCTTACTGGCGATGGACAAAAGCATGATGCCTCACCAATTTACACAGAAACCAAGTCTCTTTATGTTCTTAGTGTAGTCTACTTGTGTGCCAAGTTATATTGAAATCAGACCACAACTGTAGGAGGAGTAGCGTTTTGAAAGAATTTCACAGAAATTTCTATTTTTAGTAACCACGGCAACACCGTTCATCGAAATCAAAAATCGATAATCAGAATTATGTATCTTAGTGTAGTCTACTTGCGTGCCAAGTTATATAGAAATCAGGCCAAAACTGTAGGAGGAGTAGCATTTTGAAAGAATTTCACAGAAATTTCTATTTTTAGTAACCACGGCAACACCGTTCATCGAAATCAAAAATCGATAATCAGAATTATGTATCTTAGTGTAGTCTACTTGCATGCCAAGCTATATTGAAATCAGACCAAAACTGTAGGAGGAGTAGCATTTTGAAAGAAATTTCAAAGAAATTTCTATTTATAGTAACCACGGCAACACCGTTTATGGAAATCAAAAACCGATATATAGAATTATGTTTCTTAGTGTAGTCTACTTGTGTGCCAAGTTATATTGAAATTAGACCAAAACTGTAGGAGGAGTAGCATTTTGAAAAATTGGTTACAGACAGACGGACAGCTAGACAGACAGATAGACGGACGGACGCGCGGTTTACAGGATGTATGAGATTGGTCATCATAATCTTTACATACATTGAATAAAGTATGTAAAGAAGGAGGTGATTTGTAGAGCTAATGCATGACATCCTACTTTATGCTGCTTTGGATGATGAAGTAGGGGCCTATTGGATTAAAAAGTAAAAAATTACACTGAATTTGTACATTATTAATGAATTTTGAGCCTTACATTTTTTGGATATTAGTTTTGTCTAAGGATAAAGGAGGTTTTGCAGAACAAAGTGAAGGGAAGAATGTAATCTTAACCGTTATCTAGGGCAGAGAGGGTCGAAATATCTCATAGATTTTGCGTAAGTATTCGCTATGCACTCTGTCAAAAAGTAACACTCAGGATTCGTGAGGTGCTGCAACGACAGTATCCTGTAACAACAGTTTGGTGTTGTAGAATGTTGGACAATGAACTGTTTATAGGAAAAGATAAGTATATGTACTGTATTCGATTTTTTTTTTCTACTGAGAGCTTACTCTAGTATTTTGTAAATCTGTTATAAAATCGCCTTTTTTCATGTCAGAAGTAAAATTTTCGTAATTGAAGGGATAAAAATAATTTCATGGAGATTCGATTTCATGGTTGAGAAATAGACATAAAACACAGACACATGACATTAACACAAAATACCAGAAGTCTCTAAGGAAAATGTGCACTATGTAGCTCCATTCTCTACCCACAGTTGTCGTTCCCGCTTCTCTCCCATGTGAGCGTAGCGGAAGATAACTCTGGATAGAGACACCTCTACTGGTTTGTCCTTAAAACAAAGGAAGTAAAAAGTAGCACTTGAACTTTAGACTACAAATCATTAATAAATCTTGATAATTATTATGATGGTAATCGAGATAACACTTGAGTTCAAGGTGCCAAACTCTATTTGATACAAAGACTTGTAATTAAAATTGATCATCAATTACCTATGCTTTTTGCATTGAAAAAGTTGAATGGCTAAATTGTCATTATATTTAAATGCATGTAATACAGGGGATCTCAAGTTAGTGTGCATTATTCTTAGCAATTTCACGGGATAAAATATCATTTTTGACTAGGTTCAGTCTTATAATCCCTGTTGATATTTTTCTTTACTGTAGAAAATAAAACTTTTGGCAAGTTCTAATCATATATTTTTCTTATTTTCATATTTCGTTTGGACTAATTTTTCTTCATGTAAAGTAATTACACAAAACAAAACATACAATAATTTAAATCTTTTATAGGTGTCACAGATGAAATCATTACAAAGATATTCCACTTTTGTAATATTTCACTTTTTCTACAAAATTCTCCAGCTCTCTATTTTACATAAGTAATGGAATTAAACCCTTTCATTCATACAGCATCTGTTCTATCCACTCAGTTTCTACTGCAGCAAGTGTCCAAAAGTTTAAAATATTTGTACACTGCTTGAGTTAGTGGCAGCAAATTTTGTCCCATAGAGTCCATTGATTAACCACATATAAATAGCACAATGATTTTTTCAGTGTTTAAAACATTGTAAACCTTCATAAAACCATACCATTTGCCCTCCATGTGCATAGTCTGTTAAAATTCTTCTGGACAAAATTTCCTGCCTCACTTTTCAAGCATATAATACTTAAAACATATATTGGTGTAACAAGGCATCACCACAACTACATACACAGATACCAGACAAAAGTCAAATCAAATTAATATTGGATCTAATGAAGTATTAACATAATAGAAAACTTGAAATAGCCTAAATTTGTTAACTGCAGTACTGCATTAACAAATGACCAGAAAAAAATTAAGATTAAAAAGTACAGAAATTAGTTCTGCAACCATTTTCACTCAATACTTTGAACAATTCATGTAACTTACCAAATATATACCCAAATCATACATTGAAGACACTTTGTTTTTAAATCAAGATTAAAAATATTTACAACCTGAAATTTGGTCTATGGCAATTAATATATGCACATGGCAAAATCATTCTTTTAATGAAATTTCCAAATTTTCAATGTAAAGAAAAATCAAATCCTTTATTCAAAGAAGTGAATTAAAAGAAATGCCCTTTCCAGCTAAAATAAAATACACACATATACCCTTCTCTACACATTTATTTATAATTATCACATTGCCATAGAATCTATCAATGATGGGTTGTGGATGGAGTTTCTTTTAATAGATATGATGCAACAACAGTGGAGCAGAACACAGCTATGTACTACACACATTCTCCCAACAAACATCAAACCAACCATCCACTCATCACTCTCAATATTGAAGCTTTGAACAGAAAAAAATAATAATATATATTTATATATATTTATATATAAAAATTCATTAATCATGCAAATGACATTGTATACACTTTTTACATTTTGTCATACAAGCATCAAATCAACATGGATGAAAATGATTGAAAATAATCTATGTCAGTATGAGGCTTTAAATGTTAAAACAGCACTAGAGATAAAACTGGATGACTTCTCTTACAAGTTAAGATCAATGACAGTTTTGTCACAACTTTGAACAAACTGTATGGACACACACAATGTGGATGTTACATTTAATAACAATCTGTCAGTAGATGATTTTGTTTCTCATCACCGTTGACACACCAAAATACTGTTATCAAATTATAGGGCTCACATCCAACTTGTCAGATAAACAATTTCAATAAATAAATAAGCCCAAAACATTCCATACAGATTGACAAATCAACTTGGCTGAATTCCCATCAAGAGAATTTGTAAACAGCTGTATAAAACATGAATACACAGAAACAAGTGAAGGAGAGCAAAGCCCCAACTGACATAGCAACAACCTAATAAAATTGCAACAACAAGCAGCCAACTGAAATCACAGGAAACGCCAGGCTCAGAAATCAATCCGTCATAAGGCATTCTACACAAAATAAAAATACAGCTTCATTACCCGACTCACTCCTGCTGTTGCATAATCAATCCTAGTTTCCCTTCTCTTGGCTTTTGAGCTGCATAACAAGCATTAACAAAAGTGAGCAAGCATTTGAATTCCTCCTTGTCATGTCCCTGACCGTTCCTAGTTTTACCCACACCTCCTGTGACTTGCCATCAACTGCATCATTACAATTTAATGAAGACAAAGTGATGTAAACATTGAACATATATCACATGACCATTGCTAGTCAATAAAACAATTACTATGTATCAATACCATTTAGTTATGGAGCTGTAGTCACTTTTACAGTCATGTTTTCTGATCAGCCAATGAGCTTCACTATCACAAGAAGGCAGATTTTCACCAATAAATAAAGCTCTGGAGAACTGAAAAAAACTTGTTTATTTTTTTTTCAATTAGTAGACTTGGGGAATTATGGCCTAATTAACTGCAGGATATTCAAACTGCTCTATACTGGAATCTCTGTGATTCTGCTACTCTGTGGTGTATCCAGAGTGAACAAGTACAGATATTCTCATACCATAACGTTCCACTTAATTAGGGTAGTAAACCAGTAAAGAAATCTTGTTCAAATGTTTATCAGAATGAAAAACAAAAAATTATATTTATCACTCAAAGGCTAAAATACAATTTTGTTGGCCTTTAATGGCTAGTATAATTAGAACATACAAAAGTCTAGAAGACAATATTTAAAAAAAAAAAAAAAAAAGCAAAACAACTAGTATTGATTAAATACTGCGGGACTGTATGTAATTCCTGTGAGACAACCTAAAACAGATCAGGCGATGATATGAAATACTGTCATCTCTATTACGCGCCAAGTCACATGACAACGGAGTGAAGTTCCAACACACAGGAGGAGGTGATGTCGTCCCAAACTCCAACAATGAAGCACTTAATGTACTGAGAACATGAGGTCAGCATGGCCTAACAGTGCTGGTCAATTCCAGAAGAATTACCCAGTTCTAAACATGTGATTCTGCTTCTTCTTTATCCTCTGCTTGTTTTCAGTGTATGAATTACTCTGTCACATACACATGTAAACACAGTAAGGTCCTTCCCCCTTTGAGTGTACAGTATTAGTTGATGACTTGAAGCCTGCTTACAGGCCACTAAGTCAAAAATAAATTGCGATCACAGGAGTTCATACTGCCTCAGATGCATCCTCTGAATGATGTCTCGACAGTCATTAAAAACTCTCCGAATGTTTTCTGTGTCCACAGCACATGTGAAATGGGGATAGCAGTAATGTTTTCCATCACCACTTGCTGTACTTATTCGCTGAAAAAGCAGGTATATAGATTAGTAGGCTTTACAAAAAAAGTCTAAATTTTAGAATGATTGGGACATTATTTAACAGAAAAAATTCAATCAGTGAGTTTGGGAGACATTCATCATTAATATTTAGCATTGTTGGTAAACTACCACAGTATTTATGCAATTTAGCTTTTCCAAACTTTGGACTTGAACTGCACAATGATATCTTTACATGCACTGGTGCTCTTTATAATCTAACATACAAAATTTCCTTAGAATAAATTTATCATACTCCTGTTGCCTCAGTTTCAACTTTATTACCTTTCACAGCATGATACTTATATCTTTTTTTCAACAACAAAAAAGTGCCTGCAAATGCATTTCTCTTCATCACAAATAAGAATGATGTTAAGAAATTGTGCTATGTGAAGGCATATTTTATTCTTGACTTTTTGCAGTTTTGCATGAATTCTGTATCTTTTTAATATACATCTGAGAATTTAAAAATTTTTCTGCAAAATATTGAGAAAACTTTTACCAAAAATTCATCCCGAATGAAATATTTGGCTCTTGCTACTTCAGGGTCTTCTCCTTGTTCTAACACAGCTGTAAAATAAAATTCATTTATTAAGTACCATTATAGAAGTTATCCCCCTTTGAACACTCAAAATATTATTACTGTGTGAATTTGATGTGAAAATGAATGATTTTGGAAGAAAAATAAAATCACTACAAAACTTGCCATCAGGAGGTATTTGGTACCGCTTGTACTCTGGAAAATAGTCTTCGATTTTTGATTTTCCAGCTTTCACCTTTTCTGCTAGAAGATCTTGTTTATTTAAGAATAAAATTATAGAAATAATCCGTAGCCACCTGAAAGTAAAAATAAGATTTGTCAGCCTTCAACTTTCCCACAGAAATTAATTTACATTGCTGATTTCTTAAATTTTCACAAAATTCAAAATTGGAAAAGATAAAAAATTAAAAACAAAACTTAAAAGCCTACAACATTGAAAAATCTCACAAGGAAAAATATGTTAGTTATTTTTCATAAAACCAGACTTCTTACAGCAGCTTCCCACAGTATTATTTAAAATTTTAAATCATGGTACAATGAACTCCAGGGGACAAAGGAAAACCTCTGAGATATCCAATGATTTGAATATCGAGGGTAAAATACTTATAGAATAAGTGGTTGGGACGTCTTAACCACTTTGACATATAAATGGTATTCGAGATATCAGAGTTCAAGATACCAAAGTTCAACTGAATATATATTGCAAACTGAATTCTCAGAATCCTCATTTTGAGAGAAAATATATCAAATGGTAGAGGTTTGTGTGATATTAAGGGACACTCTTCCTTGTAATAATTTTTACCTGTTGTTCCAAATACTGTGGAAAAGGACAAGAGATTCTTTCAGTCTGTTTTGGCTTGGGTCTTCTCGTAAGACAAGGTTGTAACTACTACAGGCCGTTACAAAAATAATGGCTGTCACATCGTTAAAACACTGAATCCACTTTCTTCGTTCATCTCTCTGACCTCCAACATCAAACATACTGGAAAACAAGAGAGAAAATAATATGCTATGCATTCATTAGTATCTGTAAATGGGGTGTTTATATTAGTTTTCTTGTAAGATTTTGGAGGAGAGATTCTATGTATCATATCATAAAGCAAAGAATTTTCATTACTAATCATTCAAAAAATTTCTAATGAAGCAAGAAATTAACAAATTTTTAAGTTGAACAGGATTAAATCTGAATTTTCATGTTCTAGAGATTTATTTTTAAAGAACATTGTATGTGAAACAGTACTTACTGAAAATTAACTTTGTCAACTGTAAATTTTGTTTCAAATATTCCTGATGTTAATACTCGACAACGTAATATATCCTGTAAAATAAAGCATACTGGTTAGTGAAATGGAAAAAATAACAATCACACACAGTCACCATATATAATATAACCCTGTTAATTATCTTAGGCAAATAATGAAAGGAAATTACTCTTAAAATAGAGTAAAATAATTTCTTCACGTTCCAAAGAGCCCTGCCTTAACATCAGCATCTCAAATCAATGAATTTCATAAATCTGGTAAAAACACCTCTGATTACTAGGTATGTACTTGATTAGCCAACTAAATGTTCAGGAGTAGATTTTTTCCCCACTTTCACTGTATCATCAATGAAGCCCTGCCCTAACACCAGAAGCCCTGTCCCAAGGACCACAATTTTCACATCTTAGGTAGGGCACCTATGCTCATCATTACCATTGACTTTATTTATCAACTAAATACTCAGGAGCAGAGAAGAAGTTTTCAAGATATTAATGCATCTTCATTACATGGTCAATAGAGATTCACCTAACTCCAAAACTTTACCCTTGTATATTATTTGTCTATTATATTTAAACCTGCTTTCACATGTTTCCATCAAATATATCAACTATAAGCTGGTTAGAACTGATATATATTATTAATCATATGTTACATATAATATCAGAGTGTTCAGTTGACTTAAAAAATGTGATAAAGCCATAAAGGTAGTGTCAAAAACGTTATCCTATAGACGTAAGGGGCTCTATACTATAGTTAAAAGACTTGCATGTCTATAAATATTCAAGGTAGCAGAGAGTTCAATCAAGTCATACGAGACTCATGTGAAAATTTGAATGAAGTCCAACTTTAACGGGATTTAAAAATCTGAAGAAGCCTGTAATTTGGTGACCTATGTTAAATGGTGAACGTTGTTGCTGTACATGCACTGTGTACTTGTGGGTTCATTCAACTAGCCTGAACCCTCTGCTCTGTAGTATAAGGATTTTACAACAATATACAGACCACATACACATGCAGAACTCGCATGCCTGTGTGTCAACAATTCTTTCTACCAGGTCTTACCATGACTAATCCTTGTTATTTAGCTTCTTAGTAATCTATTATTTTATAAATCCTGGGAATTCCCACATGGGTATTAATATATATCAAGGAGAACATCATTTTCAGATTTAATTTGTGTAAGGTAAACAAAACCTTTTGGTGCATCCTAAATCAGAGAGAGAAAAACTTTAATTTACTTGCAAATGCACCCCTAAATGCAACTGTTGCATGCAATTTGTTCAAGTCATTGTACTTTTTTTCAAGGCAATTTTTTCAAGGTACTTCAATGACTATCGTACAAAAATACTTTAAACCCAAGATGAAAGCAATCAGTTTTATTTTCAATTTCTTATGATTTAAGGCATTGTGTGCATTTCATAACAATTCCCAGTTGATTCTAAAAATAGCTAGAAAAAAATTGATTTTAGTAGATTATTCCTGCATAGTGGCCCCCTTGGGGATGTGGAATAGTTTAGTGGGCCTATCAGAAATACCCATTAATCTATACTAGATGCCTAAAATCCAAACAAAAGCATTTAATTCCATGTACATTAAAGCTGAACAATACTGGTAAATAGGCATAGTCCACCATATTTCCCGATCTTCAACGCTCTCCCTACAACCCGTATACAACGTATAAGGAGCAGATCGCTAATCAGTTCAATGTATTTCACTGTAGAGATCCGACGAGTGTAGCCGTACATCTTACACTGCGTGCTACTCAATCTTGTTGAAATTATCAAATTTTACGTATTTTTTATTCCAAAACAGGACAAAAATATAATAAAAATTCAGATCAATACAATATTTACAAACAGAAAATGCACATAAAAACAAGAAATAAATGCAAAAAATCGAATAACACGAAAGGAGTACTACATGTCGGCCACAAGTTTCGTGTGTGCAATCCGGTGTAACGAAATCTATCCGTTTATATACCCGTCTTACGATGCCTATTTATGAAAAGTGTTCAGCTTTAAACTGATGACCAGCAGCAGAAAGCCTTGACATTTTCTAAAAATAGATATATGCTATATTATAAAATCCTATAAATAGAATTGGTGGGTGTGGCTGCCTATCTCACATGATGGATTGATTCAAATCACTACTGGCAAATTGTTTAACATCATAAAAACCAGCAGTGTATAATCATCGAGTTTGTATTTTCATGTCTTTTATTTTTTAGTGTCTGGAAGGTTATATTGTCTACCAGTAAAGAGTCTGTTTCTAAGTCTGTCTTATAAATATAGTATTTCCAACCTCTGCCATCAGGGTTAGGGTTTCATTTGTATGCAGTCTTATGGATAGCACGATAACATATCAACATTATTTCATACCATATATTTTGGGATTTTTTTTACTTATGCTGCTTTTATTTTTTGCACTTTCAATGTTTTTTAAATTTTGTGTACTGAAGCAATAAATGAATAATCTACCACTTATATCTTTTAACACCGTGTTAGAGAGGGTCTCATTTCAGAACAGAAACACAATTATAAGAAATTATGAAGGGTAATATCAGGATGTACACTTTAGACTTATATTTATCGAAATATTCTATTAATTGTAATCATTTATTGTGGTTTAAACATTCAACATTTTTATAAAAAAGATTCTCTACTAGATAATCGAATGATTAAAAAAAATTACGGAAATAATCTAATAAAATGTTTCCTGTGCCTATGACTTTGTACATCAATTATCTCACTGGATTATGTTTTTGCATGAAATATATTTATTTCCTTCATTATCACATTGTATTTCAAACACTCAATATAGATATGAATCTGAAATGAATTAGACTTTTGAAAAAGTTTTTTTTTGATCCCATTTTTGCTAAATTAATAATAATGATAAAATGATCTTTATTTTTTTTTTTACCAGGTAATTTTCTCTGAGCATTACCTGTTCTGAGGGGGTGTAATCACTCTGCTTCACTATATGGACTCTGTCTAGAAAACTGAAAATAAAAAAAAAAAATTATTAATGAGCAGTCTATGAATAAAAGAACAATATATGCAGTCATTATAACGATTACACCCCTTATCCATCACAAAACAGAGCTTTTTTTTTTATTTATTTATTTTTTATTTAAATCAACAGTGAGGTCAAGAACGGTAAAACATGTTTATATACCAATACTTCCAAGACTGATAAGTTTGTTTCATTAAAATCAAAATTCCTTAAATAAATGACATCTGTTATAAAGTTCACAAGACTATTTAAACCACATGGAAGATAAATCACATCACTTTGAGCAGGAATTTATTATAAGCTTATTCAATTTAAACATGTTTTACTGTTATTGGTGGACAAGAAAATATTATTATCTTCCTTCATCTTGGAATACAATATAACATTTAGAGTGAATTAACATGTACCTAGTATTAATACTAAATGTACCATTTCAATTTCATTTTTTGTTTAGCAAGGAAAATTAAGGAAGAAAAGATCCTCTTTTTTTATTGGCAATTTAAACACAGTATTCATCTGTCACTTGGCAAGTGTTTCTATTCTTGTAACTGAAGCCAAGAGCAACACCTGTGTACACATTAAACCAAAAAGGAAGCAATTGTGCAATATCACTTCCATATATCCAGTTTTTATATACACCCATTTTCACACCAAATTTATGAGCTGTTTTGGAATATGTTATTGTTTAGCTAAGACTGCTGCTATATTGGTGCCATGTGAGAAAATCTAATTGGTAAAATATACCATTAGCAGTTTTTAGGCTGCCTATTTTCCCACACGTTTTCTTCCGTCTGAATATAAATATCTGGTTTTATCCTCGTTTATAATCCCCCCTTACTCCCACTATTTTATAGATGTGGCAGTACACAAGGAGATGTTTACTTTGACCTCTACACTAACCTCATGCAGCTATCGGAAACCAGATATGGAAGGATGACTCATACTGGAGCTATTATTAGTAACAGAGAGATAATTTATAGAAGTTTTAGTGAATTGACCTGGATTTGTTCGCCTGACAACCACAAAGCTCAACAGTACAGTGTGTAATGATCTCTGTGTTGTATAAGATTACTATAGAAACCGGATTATTTTAGACAATTTATTGATTATTTATATATATACGAATTCATCGTAGGTTTTTGAACAAATGATAAACCTTTTGGTGACACATAAACTCAGCTTATAAGATATATACCTGACTACTAGAAGTGTCTAAATGCTACAACAAACTTTTTAAAAATCCTTGTTCTTCACCTTAAAATTTTAAAATTGAATAAACAGTGATGTATTACTAATATTATTTACCAGAGTAATATAACTACAGTCTTTTTAGATACAGAAATGAAGGATGGGTGGCAACTAAACTGTCTGTCATAGACAGGGCACCCCAGTGTGCTTGATTATATTTCTAAATATGACATCCAAGTGCTTCTTGGCGGATGTCCTGCTTTTAGGTGGACAAGATTAATAGCTTTCATAACCTTTTTAAAAAGTTTAAATGACTGTAAATTAATCTTGATGGCTGATCCATACTGCTTTTTTTTTTTTTTACATCTACCTTGAGTATGACAGAATCAACAAGATTATTATTTCTGTGTAGAAATAATCAGAAATTTTACACCCGACATATCATAAGCTTGTTGGACCTCAGTTGTGTCCTGTTATTTGACGTCCATTATAAACAGATCCCTGGCCAATCTGTCAACACAGAGTTATTTAATCATCTAACATACATTAATTAAACCCAGGGTAGCACATACTTAATGTAAGTAAAGAGATCTTGGATTTCATAAAAACAAAATTAAATATGCTTATAGATTGTTTAAACACTATCTTATTTAACTTAGGGGATGTGTTTCTAAAATTAAGCCCTCATTTTCAGCTAAGCTTCAGCTTAATCAAATATAGCCTTTACATACAAAGACAGTTGTACTTCTATATCTGACAAAAGTACAAGCACTGATCTATGAAGTATTCCTCCGAAAAGGAAGGGGTGGGGGTTCAAAAGCTCAAATACTTTTAACTTTTTATGAAGATATTCAAATACATCTTGCAATGTAGCATGCTATTTTAGTTCCTAAATTTTTTACCAAACACAATGTGTGGCGAGTTTATATTCCTCAAAGAAGTCAATGCCACAGAAGGGCGTAATCAGAACATATTAACAAAGCCTAGAGCATGGTAGATCATGTCGTATGTAGGAGTATATAGCCCTCAAAAATAGCACTCAGATGTCAAGCATGGAGACAACCTATTAATGTTATCACTTTTCCTACAAAAAATCACATTGCTGTTGTTCCTTATTTCTAAATAAAAATTCTGCTTTGGAAATTCTATTGTCATCTAACTTAAGTTGGCAAAATGAGATCTGGTACTAATTAAGAAGGCACTACCTGCCTCCCCAATCATTATTTTCTCCATACTTATTTCTAAAATTCATTTATAAAATGCTACCTCTTGAGATGTGGAAAATATAACCAAAGCCATCAAACATAAAAGATTGAATGTAATGAATGATAGTCAAAACCCAAAGAAAGCTTAAAAAATAATCAAAGTGTCAAACCCCTCTTGCCTCAGAATGACATGGTCTCAAGTTAGTTAATCTCCCTCCCTTTCCCCTCAGTGACAGTTAAATTCCTTCATATAGAGAGAAAGAAAAAAATAATCATCATTGTCCAGATTTCAAATGCATGATCCAAAATATGAAAGACGAAGTACTTCTTTATTAGAAAACAAAATTTTAGTGTATACTTTGTCAAAAAGCTGCATAAATGTTTACAGCCTGTAATAGTGCTCTGAAGAGATATGACTTTTGCATTGGATCTTTCCACAAGCAGAACATGCCCATTTAGTGGACGAAATTCTATAGGGAACTTCATTATCCTTGTAAATTGCCTAAATGATTATTCATCAGTCTGTCTAAGATACAGTTTGTGTCTCTTTATCAACATGCACATACAAACATTCCATGTGCTCCAAAAATCAATAGGAATGGATAATAATAGAAAGTCAGGCAGAGATCAATATACTGAGCAAATCTCAAAGCAGAATATACCATTACTCTTTCATAGAACTGTAATCAACTGTTGCAGATTGTCGTAAAAATTTTAACTTTGGTGATCCTGTCTGTGCATTTACTGTACAAGTATGTGAACCACATGTATATACAGTAACTCTAGGCTAAATGTTAATATTACCACACATGACAAAGGGAATGCATTGCCTGCTCGCTTTGATGTGAAGTCAAGTTAATTCCTTGTCAACAAAGAAATCTGTAGTGTTACTATTAATGGCCTCTCAGCCATTGAAAATCTAAAAATAGCCTGCCTTGGAGTGTATTAGGCTGTCTGAAAGTAATCAATACACACTACTGAAATCTAATCGTTTCAAAACTTGAACAAGGATTTCTCTGGCCTCACACAATACGATCAGTCTGTGGCTTTAATGGATTACCACCACACAAAGATTTCCTTTAAATCTGGAATGCATTCAGCAGAAAAGTATATTCTTTTATAATTTTTGCCCCCTGCCTTCAATGTGTACAAATTCTCACTCCCTTCAACCCTACATTTTAACACCTAGACACCAGACTGGGATTGTTCACAGTTGTAAGAGTATAGCTTTCATGTATATAGGTATAAACATTTCTGTTAACATTCAAAGAGTTTCATCTTTCTTATAAAACCTGTCTACTGCTAACATTAGAACTGACCATATTTAACAGAATTTGAATCATGGGATGGAAAGCTGATATAAAATTACATTGACCCCCCAGTGTAGCTATAAACTTAGACCCTGAACAAATAAGGGAATGTTTGCATTTCAGTTCAACTAATTGTGAACTAACCTGTTGTTGAAAATTAAGATTTAAAAAAAAATTCAAATATGTTGACCCCATCCTAATCACAGCATCAAGTTTTGATCAAAATGCATCCACACTATACTTGGATACTTGTATATGACTTTGTGGCCCTGCTTTTCTAGGGATAAGTGATTTTTAAACATATATTTTCTAACTCAAATTGACTATATACTTGTATATGTACCACTTCCTAGCCCTAAGGGCAATGATTAAAACAAATATTATATGAAGCTTTTACTGTCTGTATTTCAATGCTACTACTGTAGGACCTGCTGCTCTTAAGATTTTTTCCCCGTCCTCATGTTAATAAACCTTTCATCCTCTATTACATCCCTACCCTACACCCCAGAGGTTATGGCTTGAATGAACCTTGAAGTATACTTATAAACTTCAAGCAGTTCTGAAGATATGAGATTTTAAAAAGATCTAACATTTTTGTATTTTCTTATTGCCTTGAAAAACTTAAATACCCTTACCAAATTATGCTTTGAGTCAAGTTTGTTTGGAAGTTAGCACAATTTTTTTTTTTTGCAGAAAATGAATATATGTAAAAAGATTATATATATATACCCATACATGTACATTACAAAACGGAGAATACTCCTCACAGTCATTGATCAGAAAAACTCACTTGAGCCTTGGTGAAACTAATGACTGTATGCATCTGTAAATAATTTGTCAATATGTTCAACAAAGAGGACTTTTTTCATGTTTTTTTATGTGGAAGGCACCAAAAAAAATTCTGAAAAATTACAAATTATAAAAAATGTCCCCTTGTATTTTCCCAACCAAGCCTTGACGTTATACAACCCTGCCCTCATTTAAAAAAGTTCTACACAAACCTACTGATCAATTGACAATAATGACCATATTTAGTCAAGAAGTTCCCTGGTTTCCAGACTATTGATTTTTTGTTACAATGAAAATCAGAGGTTAGTTTTCTAGATTTAGCATCATATAACTATACATAAAAAAAAAATCATATTGACTATGATGTTTCAACTCAGGATTTACTAGTATGGCTTCCTCCTTTTTCAAGCACAAGATGTTAGTGTGGGAATGGGGGTGTAATTCATGATCCATTTGTATTTATCCCTCCTTTTCACATTATTTTATGAGGATTTTTAATGCTTATACAATATAATAAGTAAACTCTGAAACTAAGCACTTTAAAGAAAACTAAAATATTACAGAAACATGTCCAGTTAAAAATATATGCATATTTTACACTTGCAGACCCATACCTTAACAATTAGAAATTTCTCAGATTATATTAAAGCCAAAACAGTTGTACATATATAACTACCCATAAATATTCTACAGTCCCACAACTTAATAGTGCTCACCATTAGAGAATTTATTTTAGACCCAACCAAACTCAGTCCATTTTTTAAGTAATCATGCCATAAGATATGAAACAAAAAATTCATGTCACTTCTTTTTTGAAGCATTATACAAAATTCAAATTTTCATAAATCACTAAGCTTAAACAATCAGGACAGCAGAAAACTTTTGCAAAACCTTGGTTGTGGACATAGATAATGCTTCAATTCAGAGTTAACTGCACATATTACATAGGGGTAAGTCTTCCTTTTTTGGCAGAAAAAAATATGTCTACAGTATAGAAAAGCAGGGTTAGACAGGTTTTTTTTTTGTTTGTATTTTTTTTTTTTACCTTGATGGACCACAATTTAACTCCTCATGTCTCAAAAATTATATGTGGAACTTCTCAAAACCTGATGGACTTTCATTTCTGTTTCAAACGTTCATGAATAAATTTAATTGATGGTACTTTGATTCCTCCCAATGTATTCTAATTTTGTGGGTTGGGCTGCTGGTTGTCCATTAGTGTTGAACTTTCCCAACATGGCAGGACATTGGGTTGTGCAATGAAGTTAGTTATACAAACTGGGAAATATATATGTAAGACTCCAACGTGCGATGGTGACGCCAAAGTCCGATGGTCTCGCCAAACCCCGATGGTCTGCGCCAAACCCCGATGGTTCGCTGTCTTTAATGGTCACGCCAAAATCCGATGGTCGTTTCCTATGAGACACGTTGCGCTGTGCGATGGTCTGATACGCCAAAGTCCGATGGTGCGGAGGAACAGTCCGTCACAGAAGTGTATTCTTGTGTATTTTATTGATTTTATTTATTGTGGGCATTGGGTTAATCTGCTGCTGATAAGTTAGTCCATTATTGTGATATTTTTTTTTCTTCGAACTTTTTGGGTAAGCCCAACATGGATTAGTCAGGTTATAGACATTTTTCGACTGATTAGGGTTAGTGCAATATCTAATAGATGAGGGTTAACCTTTGCATTTAATATTTATTTGTATTTTACTGGGCCTTGGCATGGCGCGGTATCGCATTTTTGCGCAAATATATATCACTTTGGCGTGTCATGAGATTTGGCGTGACCATACTTTGGAATCGCACTTTGGATAATATCATATGAATGGATACAAAATAACTTACTACTGGGCACAGTCAATAAGCTGGTACTCGTTAGATCGCTCATAGCAAGCCTGCACTCCCTTGTCACTCCAAAGTATCTCTGTGTGTTCATAGAACTCCTGTAAAACATTATATAGATAACATGAGATGAGTTAGAAAAACAGAAAACATATAAAATATATTATTACATAGTAAAGGATCATTAGATAGTTTTTGATTGTACAGGGTACTTAATTGCTGAGTAAAAAAGTTAAAACACTTAGTTAAACCAACCAACTAATAACATAAATCAAAGACTTGTTTTCTTGCACTGGTCTATTAGTTTTTTTTATTTTGTTTGTGTTTTGGTAATGAGTGCTGCATCTTTAAAATGATTGTACTATATGACAACTGTTTCCCCGTTTTCTTATCCACTATTTACTAGTTTAGATCTGAACACTTTTATTTGGTTCAGAGGTGTTGCCTTATCATGCTCCAACTTGTCTCTGCATTTAAAAATCTGATCTAAAATTATCTACCTGCCTCTATTATGTCATCTGCTTCTATAATTAGATGACCTGACTTTCACAGGCTACAGCAATGTAAAGTGTGATCCATTAGTGAGGGAAAATCTAAGTTTTTCATCTATACCTTAACCTATCTTTTATTATTAATAATGTCGATTAATTCCAGAAAGCACCTATAAATTTTAAAATACAAGTTTCAGCATGAATGATAATTTAAACAACAATGAAGTTTTTTTTTTAATTTTGAAAATTACAAGTCATATTCAACATGTAAAAAAGAAAGTGACAAAATGTTATCTTTCAAATTTTAGTTAAAGTGTTTTTAATCTATAGTAAGTGGTCCTTTACACACATGGAGAACACAGAGAGACCTTTAGGCAATGTACAGCTTGTCCAATTGCTTGACAATCTCTGAAAGCCTAAAAAAGATGGGCCCTGTGAAAATATTATTGGGATATAATAAAGCACTTATTAGGTGATGAAAAATTGAGAATATTGCCATATTTCACAGTGAACTGTTGAGTTAATTGAGTGATCTAGGCACTCAATGAGCACACTTTATAAAATTTCAATCTTGGTGATTGAAGGTAATGTTGCCTTCTATAGTGACCCCTGAGATTGAGAATGCTTGCAAGCTCATTTAGAGATCTACAGAGATAAAGAAGAGATCAAGTGTGACCAAGAGAGATCACTACATGATCAAAAGAAGCCACTGAGATATACCAGCACTTCAGCATTTGAAACAAATGACCTTTGACAGCGTTTTTTTTTTTTCATTATATAACTGGTACCATTCCCAATGCCAACAAAGTTAATTTTTCCCAATTTTGTGACCAAAAAATCCAAATTCAACTGTGAAGCAACAGACTACGACAACATCGTATTTCTTTTTAAATATTTTAACAGGGTAGTGTTATACATTTTGACAAATTGAGAGCATTGATAAAAAATTCTCATTGTTCTTCGACGACGATATTTTTCCCAATTAAACCTGTACCGGACCCTTTCCCAATGGGTGGAAAAAAATCACTGTTTGTGAGATCACTGGAAGACCTAATACCTAAGAGATCATTGGGCAGGGTTGTCCTTAAGAATTGTAATAGGAGATTTTTGGAAAGTAGAGGGGGATCTAAGAGTTTCTCTCCTAATTTGCACTTAGAGGAATACCAAAATGACCAGGGGATTACATCATTATAGGAAATTCCCCCGCCCTCAGGTCTTCGAGACAACCCTGACTGAGCCACATTTCTATGTGCTCCAGACATTTTTGGAATGATTTGCTATGTAACTTTTAAAGGACTTACGGGTAGTCTGCTTGGAGACCACAGAGACTGTGGAGACCTGTATGAGATCACTCTGAGAGATGGTGATGGCTGGATGAACAATTCTTATTAGATCTGGCCAAATTTCATTGCTCAGTAAATGTTCAGTAAAATTGGATCATTTTGGAATTATATTAAAAATTTGATCAAATCATAGTAAATTGTAAGGTTTATAAATTTGCTAATTCATGAAATAAAGCACAAAGGGCTTAGCTATCCCCCCCCCCAAAAAAAAAATTGTGCATGCCTCTAAATAAAGTGTACACTGAAAATGCTAATTCAACAAAAGCTTGAAAAATCTGTCTGTTAGCCCCCTGCTAGTATTTTCTATATATAAAAATGCTGATATTTCTCATTGTTTCACTTTCATTACACTATAATAATGCACAATATAATTTACAATATAATTAATTTTTGAATCCATGAGAACAAAAATCTCACATTTCTAGGAACATTATGGTACGGAGTAGGGCCGAAACCAAAACTGAATTATGCATTTCTTTATCTCCACAGCATATATCTGGCTTAAAATGCACTCTACAACATTACCTATAATTATACAGCCCACACTTACTTAAAACTTTTCAATGAAACAGCAAACACCAAAGGAAACAAATAAGATTAAATAATGCCACACCCTAGTTTGGTTCTGGATTACGATCACAGAAATAGTGCAAGTTTTTAATAGTCATGTTTACCTAATCTTTTAAATTCATTCGAAGGCTTATATTATAGAATATATTCATGATTGAAATATTTAGAATGGTATTCCATAAATTCAAAATCAGATATTTCTATCAAAGACACAGATTTTTGGAATATCTAATGATCTTTCATCTTGCACATTCAATTCTTTAAAAGACACACATTTAAAAATCTTTACAGTGAGACATCTTCTAAACCTTTTCTATTTTTTATAACTGCTCTGACTTAGCATTATAGAACATGATAGCCAAGACTTTTTGTGCAGCGACTTCTGCCACTTTCCCTGAACCTTGTAGTCAGCAGAACCTGAACTGTGGATGTGATGGTAAAACGTGAACGAACAGGAACCTGCTACATCTACTGTGTCCACAGCCTCAGGAACCCGGCTATTTTTAGTCAGATGGCTTCTAAAAATAGCTGCCAGTTCAGCACTCTTCCTGTATTCTTGTATTGATTAGTGTTTAGGATCTTACAACACACAAGTGATAGAGATACGTGTGTGATTTTATGTATGTAATTTACTTACTGCTGATGTTTTCTGTATTATGAATGCTTAGAATTCTAGTATGTTTATCATCATGCAGTTACTTTGAAAACCTTGAAAATCTGTGACCAGAATTTGACCAAGGGGATTATCCTTTATCAAAACTTTGAACTTTGGCCTGTTCAATTTTGAACTTTACTGAGACTATTTAAATCCTGTAAAACATACACTGAAAGCAAAACACTTGCCTGAGTAAATGTTATTTTTTCTGACTTGAAATATTTTCAAAGAATTTACAAATTTACTGCAATATATTTTTGATAGCTTTCAGCAATGTTAATTAACCCAACATATAAATTGAACAAATGCTGTTAACATTTTGAATTATTGAGATTCTGAAATGAATTTTCTTCTAATAAACATTTCAATTAAAGCCAAATATTGTTAATACAATATTCCTAATAAATTTAAATGAATCTGCCAGGTATCAGCATTCAGTAATATTCCTTTGCAAAACCTTGTGGTTTATATTGCGCAGATGAAAAACAATACAGCAGGTTTTTTTTAAAAAATTAATTGCTTGAAAAAACTTCCTAGTGTGGAAAAAAAAAATTTAAGCTTTATTGAATTCACAACTTTTGAATCCACAATCAGATTAGTTGACTGACAAACAACTATAAACATACTGTGTAATCACAAAATTTCGTGGGGATTTAATTTTCGTTGTTTACGAGGTATGAAGAGACTCACAAATTCATGTCCTCCACGAAATATTAAATGTTACATACATAACTACTCAACAATTCTCCATCCTCGAAATCAAATCCCAACGAATCAAGATTTTTTCTTCAAACCATGAAAATTTGACCCAAGTAAAATATGTGATTTTACAGTAGTCAGTAAACTTACTGCCGGGTAGTCAAAGTCGGGCTGGCTCGCCACGTTCAGCATGTAGTCCACTCGGAACTGATTTTCTGGATTTTCCAATAGGACAGGGGGATTAAGACTGGCCATGGCTCCCACTATTGACTACAAAACAAGCAAGGAAATATGTCACAACAAACTAGTTAATTTCTTTGACAAAATTACCTCTTCTCAAAACTGATTTATGCCATGTAGGTTCATAAAAATATAATACATATACTTTCAACTCTAAATGGCTCAAATTTAGCATATAAACAATAAAGTCAAGTCAAATCACTGTATAATAAAATGCACTTAAATGACTTTGTAATTTTCTTGGGAATAAGCACCATCATGAATATGAATATATAAATATTCTTACAAGGAATTTGTGAACAGAATCTTAATACACATTTGTTTTAAATTATTTCTAGCCAAATTTGTTTACAAAGGGGAAATCTTTGCCCCAGTTTGATTAAAACGGGGTATCCAATGTGAGAGAGCGATCTCCTTTTTAAGACAATTGTATCCAGGAGAATTTAAAATTGGCAGCCAAATCTGCATACAGGAAAATTTTTGCTCCTGTTTTATTTTAGCCCCTTTAGCCTTTTTGCAAGTGTGTGAATTTAAAACAGGAGGAATCCAATGTGATAGAGTAATTCTTTTAAGACAATTGTGTCAAGGGGAATTTAAAATGGGACAGAATCATTTGCAAGTGAAATGTGACAAAAATAACACAGGGCATAAATAACCCTGTAAACAGTATTTACATAAAAATGCAGAAGAATATTGTTTGTGAAGTAATTTTTACACCATTGCAAATGAGAATAAATCATTTCCAGTTTAACTTATATTAAAACTTATCAAGTAACTTTGGACTAAGAAATAGCTGCACTTTTAAGGCCATAATAAAAATATTCCTAGATTCTCATCCCCGCCCGCCCCGATTTTATACCCCCGCCTCGATTTTTTTTATTTCTGTTTTTCTTCGTCTTATTTCTGATCGGGATCGGTATTCATCTACCATTCTACTTTCGTTTTATAACCCGCAAAAGTCGACATGATTTTGACAGCTGAAAAGATGGTAATTGCTGTAATACATGCGTATATACTGTATTTTAAACAAGGGTCATTGGTTGAAAAAGATTGGTGATGATGTGAAGTAAGAGATAGTTGAACCTTTACTATGACTTTTATTCGGATATTGTAGATAAAATTACACCGATTGACCAGGTCAATAAAAAATCTGCAAAATTGAAAAAATAAAAAATATAGAATAAAAGCCGCCCACCCACCTCGATTTAAAAAAAAATTCAGATGAGAATCTAGCAATTTATTTATTATGGCCTAAAGTGCAGATTCTCTCAAAATTTTCCACTGGTCCTGCAAGTACCTAAATCTATATTGATATTAATCAGAATATCTGTGGTCTATCTCACCAAAATCTGGGTAATGAAAATGAATTCTAGTACAATGTAGTCTCCAAAATGACTGAGAATGATTCTATCCTGTCTTTGCAAAAGACAATACATGGGCCAACAGACTGACTCTATGTACTCAGTGTCTGAGGTTCAATGTGTCTATGACCCCTATATACAGTGTCTGAGGTCCAATGTGTCCAAGACAGTAAGACCTATATACAGTGTCTGAGGTCCAATGTGTCCAAGACAGTAAGACCTATATACAGTGTCTGAGGTCCAATGTGTCTTTGACCCTATATACTCAGTGTCTGAGGTCAGGGCTCGACATTAACGCTTGTCCGCTTGTCCGGTACCAATGAAAAAAAATTACGGACAAGTAAATATTGCTTGGCACTTGTCCGATTGGACAAGTGATTTTTTTTTATGTAAAAAGTCTTCAAATAGTAATAAAAATAATAAAAAAAACAATAATTAAAAAGTTTATTGAATAAAACGGAAGCAGTACATAAATACGAATTACAATCCCGATATTATTGGCTATGTAAGTTCACACTTGATGTGTCTAATTGCAGCCATACTATTGCATACTTGCAGTTCGTTTGGAATATATTAAATTGATATAACAGATTCACTTGCGAATAGTTATGTTTTCAGGACAGGAAGTGTAGATAAAATATTTTTTTATATGTGTTGTCTTATTTATCAAAACAAGTCAACACTAATAAATCAAGGCTGAAGCATGTTTTAATTTAAGACTAAGTAATTGTTTTCAAGTTGACAGAATAAGATGTTCATTAAAAAGTTTTTCGGACAAGTGAAGTTGAAGTTTGGACAAGTAAATATATTGGTCACTTGTCCGAATGGACAAGTAGAAAAAAAAATTAATGTCGAGCCCTGGAGGTCCAATGTGTCTTTGACCCTATATACTCAGTGTCTGAGGTCCAATAGTCTATGACCCTATATACTCAGTGTCTGAGGTCCAATGTGTCTATGACCCTATATACAGTGTCTGAGGTCCAATGTGTCTATGACCATTATACAGTTTCTGAGGTCCAATGTGCCATTTTAAAGATTCCAATTTTGACGTCCGTAACCACAAACGGCCTTTTGGAACCGTTGAAAAAAAATAAAATATCAGGAATAGGAGTTATATGTATGGTTAATTAATGGATACCATTCGGTGGAAAGCATCATATACAAGAAATAATACTCAACATGAG